CAGGGTGGCTGGTAAGTATCCGGAAAATGTAGAGGGTTACAGCGACAAAAGTAAACCCAAATTTAATAATAGCGATTTACTTTTATGATAAGTGGATGCTGGGTCATTCATTTTTGTAAATAAATTTTCAATGTAGCCCCCATCCGCTTTCATATATGATTTAATTTATGACGGCCTCGAACATGGCTGGGCGCCGCGGGTATTTTCAAACAATTCGTTCCAAATCTTGGTAGATTCCGGACGCGGATAGTTTGTATTGTTGATCTTTATGTTTGGTAGCTCCTGTTTTATGACTCCACACACAGAAAAAATCCCATAGATTCTTCTGATCCGGGCTATTGGCAGGCCAAAGATCCTTCGTCCTAAATCCCGGATTTCGAAAATTGGCCTGAACTGGAAAATCCAAAAACTGGTCTCAACCAAATCAGATTTTTAATATGTCACAATGCTCAGCGCCTGGAGCCATGGCAAGATCAGCTAAAAAATCTTTTCAAAAACATTTTTATCCGAAGATATGTGACTTTAAGTTCGGCGAAACGTCCCTGACCGCAAAAATCAAAGTTTGATTTGGCGTGCCAATATTCTAAGCGGGGTAGGATACTTTAAGATCAGTTGTAAAAACTTTACGGAAGCTCTTCGCTGTTCGATACACAAAAAAGAAAACAAGTCATAAAACGAAGGAGCTGTTGGCAATTTTACAATCATTCCGGATACTTATCAGCCACCCTGTAGTAGTAATTCGCTCACCTGTCTCCTAGCTACTAGCACACCCTGATTTAGATCTGCATCCGGCTGTATCGATCGATCGTCTCGTCCAGGGCTTCGTCGGGATGATTTCATTAGTGCGCTCTGTTCTTCCAGCTAAAACAAGAGCATTACATTATGATTTTTTCACGTGGGAAAGAAAGTGAGAGCTCAACCTACCATATCCCCTTTGCTTGTAAGCCTCGCTCTTCCTCCGCGAGTTGATAAATATCGGGATCGTGTGTTCGGTTTGGGTGGCAATGGCCGTTGCCACAGAATCGGATAGATCGATGGTAGTCTGGGTGCTGATCGGCTAAAAACGCAATATAGAAAATGATTTCTGGAGGTCGTGCTTCGAGGCTTCAAAAACATCTAAAAACTACTTACCGCTGTCTGGACAGCAATTTCTCCGGTGTCTTTTGGCTCAGGGAGGAGCCGGTCGGTTGGATGCGCTAAAAATTAAGAGGTTAGCCGAAAACGATAAATTCTCGTAAATTAGTGGCAAAGATGGTCCACATTATTTTCTACGCAACTACGAAATACAGCTATACTACAACTATACTATAAACCGCAGATTCTCACCTCAAACGGCTCATCCAACATGTCATGGGCGCTCTTGCTCCGTGGCTGGTGCTTGACAGCCAGGCTATCCGAGTCTTCGCTGATCCCATTGAGCAGATGTGCAGTTGTGTACTCGAAGTTACGCGCTAAATATGCAGAAAATTTCAGGAAAGTCGACGTTACCAACCTCTTGACACCGTAGCAATGTCATCTTGTAGCCGGAGGCCAGAATAGGATCGGATGCTCGCTTCAGAAGAGGTTGAGTTGGACAGCGCGACACTGTTGTTGCGCTTCTTTTCAACTAAAAAGAGGAATCAGAGAGCGAGAGGGAGCAGGAGACAGAGACAGAGGGTGAGAGATAGAGAGAGAGTGAGTGAGTGAGAGTACGAGAGAGAGCGAGAGGGATGCGGATTCGGCTATAACTTACCAGCTTGTTGCAACGATTCCTCCTTTGCCTCGGCTCTGGTCCTGGTAGGTTCCGGCGCACTTTTAAGGGACGGTAACACCTCCTTGTTCTTCTTTATTCTCCGTTTCCGGACTGAAAAAGCTTACTTAGGATTTCGATACTTGCGATTTTTCGATTTCCACATCAATATTTTTGCAGATACACTTTGTGACCAACCCACATCATTACCTCGCCAAGTCAGGTCAACCTGATTCCAAATCCCTAACCCGGCCCCTATCAGCGTCACTTTCCTGTTCATCAATTCCGGACACGACATCCGGACCCCCGTATCTACGTCACAATCCTCCTGGCTGGCTCCCGGGGCGAAATATGGCCATTTCTGATGGGAGCCCCGACTCGAGGCCAAAGCGAGCGTGATTAGGCGCTATTTCCAAAAATGGACACCTGGCTTTGGATATAGCCGCGGTATTTTTAGCCTGCATACGGGGTGATGCTGTTTTTGGCGTTAGAGAGAGAGAGAGAGAGAGAGGAGAGAGAGAGGGAGAGAAAGAGAGAGAAAGAGAGAGAAAGAGAGAGAAAGAGAGAGAAACAGAACAAGAAGGCGAAAAAGTAAAAACACGTGATATTCCGAAATGTTTGACCATAATGCATCCCTAAAAATATTTCAGAAACGCACGGAGATCCCTTTTTGAGGCTAAGTCATTGATATCAAACAGTCATAGGCGTTCTTAATTAGGTGTTTTTTCCTGGTTCATCCCTTGCCAATCATTATTCACTATTTACCTTTACGTAGGGTACGAAATTACGGTAGGCATTTTATCAGGGCCCCTTTTTATTATTTTTTCAAAAATTCTAGTTTATAATATCACCCAAATTTCACAAAAATCCCAATATCGCCAAAATCCCCGGATCCTGACGCCCTAACCCCAGACCGGACCAACCGCTGATTCACCCATTTTTGCTTAGTTTTTAGGGTATTTTAGTATTTTAGTTTATTTTTTCGCGCCGGCTTTGGTTACGGTCACTTGGCGTAAGACAGGATTTAGTTCACGGATTTTGGTGCCTGTAAATACAGGATTTACGCGGCCTCATGGCATTGCCTTGGGGGGGACACTGTACCAATAAATCTCTGACGGCCGTGAAAGCTTACCAATATTCATTGCCGTGACTCCAGGCGCAATGTCCAACACCGGGTTCTGCTCCTCACGAAACATGTTGTATTGTCTGAAAAAGGCGAGGGTTCAGACGTTGTTTTAAAAAAACAATGGTGCAACCAGCTTCCGCATGTAAGCGATCATATAAAAAAGCCGCTCTAAGTTATTACGCTACGTCGTGCTACTACCAACCTTGCTGGCGCGATAATTTGCGGCAATTCCGCAACAAAATCTGCTCTGTCGATGCCAGATCCTGCGCTGGTTGAGGGTTGAGCATGGTATTTGCTTGTCGACCTGAAAAGGAAAACATAAATCGGTACCTTAAGGCAAAAATTACTGTTTGCAATAGCTTCTGCCTGAACCGCTTGTCTCGAGATAGACCAATTGCGTGCTCGCTTCGCGGTGGTATCAAGTATTATCTATCAAACGTTGTTGGTTAAAGCTAATGCGATACCCAGCTTGAAACTGGCTTTCGAAAACATGTTAAAGCGTCACTTAGGCAGCAATAGCGATTTTTTAATGCTTCTTACCATTTTACACGTAAAACCTTTAATTTGACGTCTGCGAAACAAACTATAGACGACAATCTGGTCTTCCTAACTACAAACTACAAATCCTTTTCTGTCGGTACTCACGTGCTCTCCGTCCTTTTATGCCTACGATTTGCGAGCATGAATAGCATTTGATTGGTTGCAGAAATTGAGATAGAAATCCGAAGCAGATTCAGAAAAATTTGAGCTCAGTCGCCAGCCAATTAATAAATTAGTTTCCGGGTCGAGCAGGTCCGGCAAGAATATTTTTTCCGGGTCAGAAAAAGAGGGGTTGGGCCCGGTTGGGCGTGAAACTCATCCGGTTGGGCTCCTGGAAGGGATGGCAAGCTGCCTGGGGGGCTCGACCTTCGTGCTCTGAATTTTTGAGCAGGATGAAGAGTTTTGGTGGGGGGTGGGGTTGGGCCCGGAAGAAAAAGAAGCTTTAATATTTCTTCTGGTTCGGACCCGGCTGCGGAATCGGTTGCAAACGAGACCTAATCGATTGGGGGCGAAAAGTTTGAGCTAAAAATGTGAGAAATTGATCCCAAACTAGAAAAATTTAATCCATTTGGATCCGAAGTTCAATCGCTGGTTTTGGTCGTTAGCCTTCTGCTTTTAATGGATCAGTATTTAGAACTCTTAGATAACCGCCGCTTCGCGGTTTTTAGACGGTTGAGTAAACTGGGTTTCAGAATAATGATGGCAAAATCGTTCTCTTTCAGGATCACAAATTTTTGGCGTTAGCGGCGGCGTACGGCGTCAATCCATCACTGCATCCAAACGCCAAATTGCCGCTTCGCGGTTTTAAATAAGACAGACTTGAATAATTCGGGATCAGGGCGTGGCGTAGTCAAAGTCAATAGCTGCGAAATGTAGCAAAAGCGTAACAAAATACTTTCTGGACTGTAGTAATGTTGAATCTTACTTTATAGTCAAAATAAATTCGCTCGCAATTAGTAGCTGCCCAGAATCTTGATACGACTCGGATCGCTACGATTCGGTACGACTGACTTTCGTAAATTTCGGAACACTGGACACTCGAAATTAGCCCTCAATCAGTGCAACAATGTGATTCCCTAGAGGTCAAGTCTTTTTTGCACACATCCCCTAATTTCCGAGATAAATTTCGCCTCTGGGGGGGATAAAGCGGAGATTGGTTGGTTTTCATTGACGGAGAAAGACAAAATTAGGTCTGACATTTAGTGACGAAATCCTCTAAACGCTCAGGTCTAGGCTGATGTTTTGGCTTAGGCTGCAGCTACTTCTTCGGCTTAGGCTTGGGCTTAGGTTTAATGATAAACTTGCAATGCGGCTCAGTTTTACGTTTCAACCGAATCTACTTGCAAAAATATTTGAAAAGCTCTAAGTTTCACAAAACTCCACCGTCCCTGAACTTTGCGTTGCAAAATCCCCTTATTTTCTTTTCGTACTCACGGTCCCCCCATGCGTCAAAAATCCCCGCCCCAAACTTGGGATTTCCTCTTTATCCGGGCTGTCGGTAGGGGGTGTAGGGGGCTCCTCACCGGGGAAGAAGAAGCCTTACTCACCCTATCTCGTATTTTAATGGCTCTCTCACAGGGTCCCCGACTGTCGATGCATCAAAACCAGCCCAATATAGGGGAAATGAAAGAATCCTGGGGTTCCTGGACCAGAAGCGCTAGGATTAGGTAGGTATGAAGAAAGGGGTAATAGAGTCTCCTTTAAGTATAGTACATGCTCTGACTGGGCTTAGGTTCAGGTGATACTTAGGCTTAGACTCAGGCTCAGGCCTAGGCTTGGCTTAGGCGTATCGAGGCATAGCCTAGTTAGGCATAGGCTTAAATTTCGGCTCTGGCTTAAACTTGCGCTTAAGCTTCCATTAGGGTTAGGATTAGGTTTAGGCTTAGGCCTAGCACCAGATTGAATCCATCCAAATTTACACGTTTTTGCAAGCGTTAAAAATACTGTCTAATTATTTTTGTCTACATTTCCGGAAATAACACAGCATAGCAGGCCCTCAGGCCGCAGAATCCGGTAACCCCCAATCAGGCCCGTAAGAGGGGGGGGGGGCGAGGGGGGCGAGCCGCCCCCGAAATCGGCCGAAGGCCGAAAAGTTCATAAGGGGGGACCCTTATGATTTAATTTTTCCAAAAATTTTTTTGCCTGCGGCGCTGTTTTTCGCTATTTTTAACACTAGTTTTAGTGTTATAAACCTTATGTTTTCAAAAATTTTGCCTGCGGCGCTATATTTTTCGTCATATTAGTGAAAAATTTTTGGGGTCGCCCCCCCCGAAATTTGGGTTTGTTACGGCCCTGCCCCCAATCTAGCGGAGCAGCTACGCAAAAATGACGAGTTTTGCTAATTGTAGGCGGAGAGAAAATGACGCAAATAGCGAGTTGGTCCAAAAAAGCCTCAAAACGCGAGGAGGGCAGAAAAAGTCATAGAAATGTACATTTAAACAGAGAATTCATGTTTGATACTCAAAATCGACATTTTTGTGTTTTAACCATAACTTAAAAATTATTAGTTTCTATTAATCGTATTTTTATATATCATTTTTCGTGTGATTCTTCTATGATTAGCTACTCATCCTAACCGTATATTTGCCCCATTTGCCTCGGAAGCCGGCTAATCCGGGTATTTATCTTTCGCAGAAAATAGGGAATATAGCGGCTTATTGCCCTCAACTAGTACCTTGATATTAATTATCAGAAGCGGGGGCGTTAATCCGGGTGGTTTGCGTGAAGAAATATTCAGATTGGGGAGCTATGAATAGGTGTAAGTTGGTAGCGATTAGGACAATACAATGGAATGTATACTAAACAATAGAACAATAGAACGACTTTTTCATTCTATAAACCTTTTAAGACGTTCTATTCTTCCACCCCACTTTAGAAAAAAATCTGTATAGTCTGGGGTGATAAAATGGTCCTAATTTGAGGTCTAGACTTCGGAATAGTTTTGAAAATGAAAAATCGAAAGCTTTTCAAGGATTTGACAACGTCTATGACTTGCAATACATTAATTGTATTTTTATATATCTAAAACTAATAAAACATACGCTTGAAAATGCCGATATCGCGGCATCCCTCGCACTTCCGGAAGATACCTCGCTCGGATGGCCGCCGAGTCGAAGTGGATTGCGACAGGACCCCGTTTCGTAGAAGGCGGCATTTGCTGAAATTACCCCTGTTAACGCTAACTGAAAACGCAAAAAAGCATGGACAAAGATAAAAAAGGGAAAGTTTATTTAGAACGGTTTTTTCACAAAAATTGCATTATTCACGGATTTTCCTGATCCTGAACATCCTTTTTCCATCAGATTCAAGCGGGATTTCACGATAGATTCATGGACCTTCCTAGGCAGTAGAGGCGCGATAATTGCGTATTGTTGTCAGGGAGGAGTGGGGGGCGGGCGCTATATAACAAATATTTCTTCTTTTTCGTTTCTGCCTCTTTTCTACTTGTTCCAATAGGCGAGCCATATTTAGCCTCAAACTCTTCTTCAAAATCGCTTGCGCATTTCCCAGCATAATTCCCCATGGAGGCATCCATCGAAAATATAGAAAAAAGCGAGAGAGAGAGAGAGAGAGAGAGAGAGAGAGAGAGAGAGAGAGAATGAGATAGAGAGAGAGCCGGATTTGTAACGGGAGATTCGTAAAAAATTGTATTAAATGGGTCGGAATCCACGATATTGTTTGCACAATGACAAAAAAAGGTGGATGGCATGACGAGGTAAACCTGGAGATTTCCGTGAAAATAAGATTATGGGAGGCTGAACGGAATGGTATTAGGAAAGTGGCGCGCCGGACGATCGTTGCAAGGTGCCGTAGTGGATCGCTGCGTATGTTCATAATAAGGTTTGTAATTTATTAAATTTACAAATTTCCTTGTGTAAATTAAACACTTCACCTCTAGATACTTTCTGGTGATTTTGGAAATTTTGCCTTCGAAACTCTTTTATCATTTGCATAGGAAAACCCGGAAAAAAAAATTGAAAGCAAGTATATTTTTGCGTAAGGCGAATTTGCTAATCCTGCAAGTTTTTCCAGGAAAACACCGATCCTACGCCTGTGCTAAAATGGCGTATATTTTCACCCCAAAGAAGCCCGATAAGCGCTGTTTTGCACGCCAGCGGCTATGAGCGATCGGAAAGCACACCGGAAATGTAGGAGCGGCTCCATGTTTTTTGGGAATTTTCTTCGTTGTGATATTTTAGTATACTTCTATTTTTACAAAATATTTCAATTCCTTCCGGAAGGTAAAAATCGGAAACTCTTTTTCTCAATAACCGAGAAAATACATAATTAAATATGAACGAAAGCAAATTATATCTTTTGAATAGATCTTGCTACCCCCAAAAATTCCAAAGCGGGCCAGGACAGCTCTAGCTAGCAAAGACCGAAAATTGTGAATTTCATGTGGGAATAAGTACCGAGTCAGCCATCCGCAAAAAGCGCTGGCAGCAAAGTGTGGGGTTCCCGGAAATTCCGGCTAAATACCGCCGGACGGGCCGGATGAGCGAGTAAGCCAAAGCCGGGGGCGATCTG